AGATCTGTGCCAGGGGCTGGGCTATGATGCTAGCCAGCTCCTTGAGTACCCTGGGGTGTAGATTTTCAGGGCCAGCTGACTTGAAGGTGTCCGGCCTCTCAAGGTGTTCCTTCATGAGGTCAGCATTGATGGAGGGCAGGGAATCTCCCTCACCCAGGCCCCCCTGTCCCATAGTGGGCAGGGGCATCCCATGGGACTAATGAAAGACTGACACAAAATATCCATTTAATATGTTGGCTTTTTCCTGGGCGTCAGTTGTCAGTTGTCCCATCTGGTTTAGCAGGGGTCCAGTGTTGCCCTTGCTTTTCCTCCGGCTCCCCACATATCTAAATAAGGACTTTTTATTGTCCTTGATACTTATAGCTAGTTGGAGTTCCGTCACAGCCTTGGCTTCCTGGTTCGCCCTCTGCAGGACCGGACCAGTGTGGAATATTGTTCCTAGAAGGTGGATCCCATCCTGCATCCTTTGCTTTCTTTTTAGCCACAGGAGGTCCGCTAGTTCCCTGGAGAGCCAAGGGGGGCTGCTGTGCCCTTTTGCCACCTTTCCTCTGAGACAAAATAGCATTAGCTTATGCATCGAGGATTGCTCCCTTGAGGAGCAACCACTCTTCCTGAGTTCCCCTCCCCTTGGGGTCATGGTCCCTTAGGGCCTCACCAACAAGCCTCCTGAGCTTGTCAAAGTCAGCTTTCCTGAGAGTCAAGGACTTCTGTATTGCTGACTGACTTGCCAGTTTTACAGCAGATGGTGAAGGTGATCACTGTCACCCAGCTTCCCTTCAATCATTAGGTCACTGATTAGGTCGTCCCCGGTTGCCAGTACCAAGTCAAGCAGCACTTTACCTCTCGTTGGCCCATAGACTTCGTGTCAAATAGAGGTCATCCACACAGGAGAGGAGGCTTTGCGACTGCTCGGATTTAGCTGAGCACTCTTCCCATGAGATGTCTGGATAGTTGAAGTCTCCCATGACAACCATGGACCTGGAGCATGCGGCCTCAGCCAATTCCCTGGCGAACTCCTGGTCAAGCTCTTGATCTTGGGTGGGAGGGATGTAGTAGACTCCCACCATTGTGTCCCCTGTGCCATGTTCCCCACAGATTTTAACCCAGAGGGTCTCCAGCCATCCACCTGGTTGCCAATGTCAGCTTACAGGGACGCATAGCTCTCCTTGACATAGAGAGCTTCGCCCCCTCCCCTTTTGTCTATTCAATCTCTCCTGTACGGGGTATAGCTGTTTATACCCATGGTCCAGTCATGGATGAAGTCCCACCAGATCTCCGTTATCCCTATGACATCGTAATTTTTTGTGCTAAGCAGGAGGACAAGTTCCTTTCATTTATTCCCCAAGCTCCTGGCATTTGTGTACAGGCAGGCAAGTGTCCTCTTGGGGGTCCCTGCCTTGCCTACCGGTTGTTCCAGGGCTGGGGCATGGGTGGGCTCCCTTAAGTGCCTTGGCCCACTGGCTTTGTAAGGGTTGTT